GCTCACTTCCTTCATTTTCAAGAAAATGCCCACCAGGTGCGCAAGTCTGAATCACCATAGTTCATCACTTTTTCTTTCTTGTCAAACATTTGTTTATTACATTAATTTAAAAGGCAGAGAGACAGACAGACAGACATGCAGACGCAGAGCTCCCACCCTCTGGTTCATTGCCCACCTGCCTGTAACAGCTGGAAGCCAGGAACTCCATCTAGGTCTTCTATGTGGGGGGTAGGGACCCCTGCTGCCTCCCAGGGGGTGCACTAGCAGGAAGCTGGAATCAGTGGTGAAGCTGGGACTGGAACTCAGGCACTCCAGTAAGGGGTTAGGACTTCAAAAGTGGCATCTTAAGCTGCGGGCCTTTTTTCAGGTGAAATTGGAGTTTTAGGAAGGAGAAGTTTAGCTCAGTTTACACCTCAGAAGTGGCCCAGAGGCTTTTCTTCAAGACATCTCTCATGCATTGTCGCTCCCCCTCTTCGTGGAGGAACGACACAGAACCCTGCGCTGTTCTTTCGTCTGCTCGGCCCTCCCCGGGTTTGCTGCTGGTTCTTCCCGGGTTGGCTACTGTCCCTTCCACCTCCGTGGAAGGGCAGTTCCCCCTGGCCACATTCCCCACTTCCGCAGGGGAGCGGCACACCGCCGGCCAGCTCTCTCGGGGGCTGCACAGGTGTTCCCTTAGATGTTCCCCTTAGATGTTCCTGGTGCATGCCGTCTCTCTCCTCCTTTATAGTCCTCCTCCGCCAATCCCAACTCGGCTGCCCACACGCCGAGTACGCTGCTCTCCTCCAATCAGGAGCAAGTCCTACAGTTTATTGGCTGAACTGGAGGCAGCTGTGTAGAAGCTGTTTTCTTCTCTCCCAGCGCCATATTGTGGGAGAGCAGATGCATAGAATAAGTCTTAATTCCAGTAACAGTATAGTCCGAGTTGCTCCCCACAATGCATGAAGCTTGTTGGCTGTTCCTCATTGCATCGCCCTGTATGTTAAAATGGTGTGTGCTCAGGATTGCGATCTATTACAATTAAAATTTTTACTGTTAAAACTGTCATTGTAAAAAGTAAAAGAAAAATATAAAAAGGAGAGGGAGAGTGAGGGAGGAAGAGTAGGGTAGGGAGTATCATTATGCTCTTAAAACTGTATATATGAAATACATGGAATTTGTTCCCTTTTTATAAGTTAAACATTTTTACTGCTTTATCACAGACACTAAAGTGAATCTGCCCTTTTTCTCCCTGGTAGTGCATGAACGGACAGGTACAATGACTACCACCTTGATTCTTGCTGAGGGAGCAGTAGGGCAAATGTTAACATGGTTATAGAGGGAGGACCTTGAGATTCAACAAATTACTCAGTACTTAGAATGTTTCAACACTGCTTGGATTTTGTTGTCCCAAATTCCTGTGGAAGATCCTTTTTGATGGTGTGCTGTGCTGATCACAAGCCCGTACAAGTGAAACAGCAACCCCATCAATGTCTGGAGGTTCACCCATTGGTAAAGCAAAGGAATGATTAGATGAGACATCTCGGTTTCCACATTGCAGCTGAATCTCTTAATTGGGGAAGTTACTGTGTCAGTGCAGAGCCGGAGCGGCAGTGTGTGCTCTCTGTTACCCAGCAGGCAGGCAGCAGTGCCGGCTGTGCAGGTCCTCGGCTGGCACGGGACCTTGTCCACGCCGTGCAGCTTCACTCGGCCTGTCGGGTGCTTCAGTGGCTTCCTTATTTCTGGTCAGAAGACGTGTGATAAATAGTGTTGGCTTTTAAAGAGTTTATCATGTCTAAGTTTAACTTAATGCAGCCCTTCTTTTTTACACTGTGAATGATTGGTCTGCAAGTGACACTACAACATAACTCACACCATAAATATTATTTTTAAATGTTCCATTGCATAAAATATCATAAGATAAACTACTAATGTAGGGCCACCACAAAACACACCAAACACCGGAATAAGGGAAAGGGTTTGTTGGGGGAAACCTGATAGACCGGAGGGAAGGGGTGAAGAAGGAAAAGAGGGAGAAGGAGAGCATAAGACAGAGATCAAGAGAGAGAGAGAGAGAGTGAGAGAGAGGAGAGAGAGATCAGGAGACAGAGAGAGCGAGCCGCGTGTTCAGGAACAGGTCCTCTTAAAACTTTGCGGGGTGGGAGGCGGGCAGGGAAGTAGGAGCAGCAAATCTCATTAGAATGGGGTGGAGCTGACACTGGCGGTTGGGCCATGTGGTCACCTGGCTTCCAGCAATGGCAGTGGGGGCTAGAGCCTAGGATGGTGTCGGGGGTGTAGATCGTGCCACAGATAAGACTGCACCATTTTACTAACAACGTGTAAAACTGAGTGAAAGTGGCTTTCATCATAATTTTATTTCTTATTTCACCCAGTTTCTTTGGCGTGTATTCTTCCCTTCTGTGATTGACATAGGACTCTGAAGTACCAGTTTCGTGTTTTCAGAATTTCTAGATGTTAACAGAAGAGTTATAGGTTGATGATGTAAATCTCCTAATCCCATTTTAATAATTCATCTTAAATTAGGAAAGAGCCTATTATAAATAGATTTCTATTTGGGAAGAGATTAAAATATTCAACTTTAGAATGAGTTTTAGGTAAAATTAAAAATATTACTGTCAACCAGTTCCTAATCTTTTTTGTGCTTCTGTATAGGTTGCAAGGAAAGTTTGGTGCTGAACTAAGAATGTATTGAACAATTACGTTCTAGACATGACAGAAGGAATAATCTAAGATAGCCTGAGGAGCACAGAGAGCTGAGAACACACTGATATAAGGTCTGAAAACTTTTCTACCTAAACTCTGCCTTAGAAGCAGAGCAAACGAGAATCCAGAAGCAGCCACTGTTCTAGATGGGAACCCACCATGAAGGTGATGTGAAAGTCCCCTCTGAAATTACTGTGCGTTCTTTACCTGCCGCAGCCCTGAAGCAGGTGTGGGGTCCATGTCTGGATCATCGTCCTCTAGGCCTTACTCCGTATCTCTTAGGTTAATTCTGAGATCTTTTGTGCTGCTGCATAGGTAAAACAAAGTAAGAAAGTGAAACAGTGTAGGTAGTTTAATGCTGTGGAAAAGGATGACTCCTTTATTGATTTTTTAAAAAAGAACAGCTGTTGTAGCATTGTGATTTTTGGGAAAAGAAACAGAGTAGTTAGTTCAAGTAAGCACATGTACTCTGTTTTAATTTCCAAGTTTATGTTTTGAAAAACAAATATTTGTTTGGGAGATAGACACACACACACACGCACACACACTTCCATCTGCTGGCTCTCTCCCCAAATGCCCACACCTGTTGGTGAGAGTGTGTGGGGGTGTCAAAGCTAGGATCTGGGAACTCAGTTGATGTCTCCCAAATGGGTGTCCGACACCTGTTACTTGAGCCATCGTCTTCAGCCTCTGAGAGTCTGCACTGGCAGGAGGCTGGAATCAGGAGCCAGAGCTGGAGGCTCACTCTGGAGTGGAACGTGGATGTGCTAACTGGCCTCTTCACTGCTAGGCTAAACGAGGCTAAACACTTTTTTTTTGATGAGTGGTGGCAGCTGAGCAATGATGTCATCCAGGGGCCATTCTGCTACCACGGGTGTTCTTTCATTTAAAAGATCCATGGAGAATCAAGGCTTATATGAGGGAACTTCTAACAGTTTGTGGAAAATGTATTATGAAAACACTATGCCTGGATTTCAAAAATTGTTTCCACCACAAGAAACTTATCTTTTAATTGCATGTTCCGTGAAAGTTTTGAGTTGCCTTTGTATATGTTAGGAATTTGAAAAGCATGGATTGTTTACCTCTGGGTAACATGTGACTCATTTGTGGGAGGAGGTGGCCTGTGGAGGAAGGCTTTGTGTTGGGAAGTCAGTGATGCAGACCATGTAGGCGTGGTGGTGAAGATGTGCAGTGCACTCTTGGGGTGAAGCTGGTGTGTGTGATGGGAATATCCCTTTGGAGTGAAGTGTGGTACACTTCCACTTGTGGGTAGTCTGGCTCCACTCTGTACACTGTTTTTCTGGGATGTGTTGCCCATCCTTGTACCATTTGTACAAGCTAGTCAAAATGAGTGATGGTGAGATTTGTATTGGGGTGATGCTTTGAACAGTCACCAGGAAATTCTAACACATAGTCATCACAGGTGATGTTTTAGTAGTTTTTAATTGGAGAAGTGTGTAATTCTGGTTCTACTGTGTAGAACCATGTCACTCATTCCTTGGTTGGGTTTATGGCTGGAATAAAGATGATTTTGATGAGAATGCCAGAGCCTGTCTGTGAAGGATCTTGCTTCCCACGTGTAACTGTGGAGAAACCTGGCTGGACTGTGTCGGCAATGATGTCTCAGCTTCTCATGTAGCTGAGCTGGCAGGGGTGTGTGTGCCCCTTGATCTTCCGTCTAGCACACCTCAGTCCCTGCCAGCCAGGAGGCCAGAACTCTCCCAAACATTGCGTTGAATGTACCAGCTCCTTAGGATTACATTGTCCTCCTTAGGATTACATTGTCCGTTAGACCAAGTTGTTTCATAGTAATGTGCTATGACAATGGGAAAGTTGTTAGATAATGGAATACTTTTTGCTGTATGTCTTTGCATCTAAGAGGCACACTTTAACACTTAAAAATGTAACACCATTAAAGAGAACGTGTTTTCAACTCAAGCACGTGTCAGTTTGACAACTTTTTTCCCTATTTTTGTCAAACAGCTTCAGTTTTAATTTTGAAATGTCATCTTCAAATTTGTTTTTTTCTTGATGTAATTACAAATACCTTTTCCTGAGGAAGACTAGGATATTATTTACTCTTTATGGTTTTTATACTTTTCCTTTAAAAGTTAAATAAGACTACAAATATTTTGTACATTTTTTCCCTAAATGTGCATTTCCAGATTAAGTTCTTCCTAGAAAATAGGAAAATTGATATTAAGGTCTGCTGATGTAAGTTGTTAAAAATGCTACTTTTAAAATTTTTGTTTTGCTATATTTTCAATTTGATATTGAGTATTCAATTCTGTTAATGATAGGTTTACTTCAGGACAGTAGAACTTGTAGAAGAGCCCATAGAAGGGTCTCCTGGCTTGAGTTTCTACTTCAAAATTAATGGACTTCCCATGTTTCTGAAAGGCTCAAACTGGATCCCAGTAGATTCATTCCAGGATCGAGTAACTTCTGATACGTAAGTTATGATTTCTTGTTACTTTAAATTAACAGTCACACATGCTGAAGAGTTACTATTTTTACTTTCTTTAGTCCCAAGGAACTGAGGGGTAGTGTATGATTCTAGGATATTGGAACGTTTAGAATGGACAGGATTTTTTTTTAATACACTTGTATTTTCCATTCTCTTCAGCTGTAGTCTTGGAGCTACACTGAGACCAGTGAAGCCATCCTTTAAAGATATTTAAAAATTTTTTGAGAGGCACTGAAAGAAAGAGACAAAGGGAGAGAGGGAGAGAGGGAGAGAGAGAATGAATGAGAATATGCTCCTGTTGGTTCACTCCCCAAGTGCCCATGACTGCCAAGTCTGGGCTGAGGCCAAAGCTGAGCCTGGGGACCCAGTCTAGTCCTCCCATTTGGTGATAAGGAACTCAATTACTTGAGTCATCGATGCTTCCACAAGTCTGAGTGAGCAGGAAACGAGTTGGGATCCAGAGGCAAGTTTCTAATACAGACACTCCACAGGGACTGTCTTTTTTTGACAGAGTTATGGACAGTGAGAGAGACAGAGAGAAAGGTTTTCCTTCCATTGGTTGACTCTCCAAATGGCTGCTATGGCCAGCGCTGCACTGATCTGAAGCCAGGAGCCTGGTGCTTCCTCCTGGTCTCCCATGGGGTGCAGGGCCCAAGCACTTGGGCCATCCTCCACTGCACTCCCGGTCCACAGCAGAGAACTGGACTGGAAGAAGAGCAACTGGGACTAGAACTGGTGCCCATATGGGATGCGGGCACCACAAGTGGAGGATTAACCAAGTGAGCCACGGCGCAGGCCCCTAGGGAGTGTCTTAACTGCAAGACTTAGCCCTCGCCTCTGTAGCCATGCATTTTTAGACAATTGTACTTATTTACTCTAAAGGTATAAGAAAATGATAAATTCAATTTTGCATAGTTTGTCCCTGGAAAAAATCATTGATTTCATTGTTTTTCAGTTTTTGGAAGAATAACAGATATTTTTGACCATGGTTCCAAAAGATGAGACCCATACTTTTTTTTTTAAAGATTTATTTATTATTTTATTATTTTTTTTTATCTTTTATTTTTGACAGAGTTATAGACAGTGAGAGAGAGAGACAGAAAAGTCTTCCTTCTGTTGGTTCACCCCCCAAATGGCCGCTACGGCTGGCGCTGCACTGATCTGAAGCCAGGAGCCAGGTGCTTCTTCCTGGTCTCCCACATGGGTGCAGGGGCCTAAGCACTTGGGCCATCCTCCACTGCCCTCCCAGGCCACAGCAGAGAGCTGGACTGGAAGAGGAGCAACCGGGAATAGAATCCGGCGCCCATATGGGATGCTGGCGCCGCAGGCAGAGGATTAACCAAGTGAGCCATGGTGCCAGCCCTTATTTATTTATTTGGAAGTCAGAGTTACACACAGAGAGAAGAGAGGTCCTCCATTCGCTGGTTCACTCCCCAACTGGCTGCAATGGCTGGCACTGTGCCGATCTGAAGCCAGGAGCCAGGAGCCTCCTCTGATTCTCCCACATGGGTACAGGGGCCCAAGGACTAGGGCCATCTTCTACTGCTTTCCCAGGCCATAGCAGAGAGCTGGATCAGAAGTAGAGCAGCCGGGACTTGAACTGGCACCCATATGGCACCCATATGGGATGCTGGCACTGCAGGCAGCAGCTTTACCTGCTACGCCACAGCGCTGGCCTTCCATGCTTACTTTTTATCTAAGATATTTACATCTTCTTTTACTTTAACAGAGAACTGAAGTAGATGTTAGGTGGATGGGGGAAATGGGAAGATTGAGCTGAAAGAATACAAAGTAGGAGATATGTAGGATGCGTGACTCTGGAGAGCTAATCCATTGTACATCATGAGGGCTACAGATTATGCAACTGGACTGCAACTAGGATTCATGCAAAATGAGTAGATTTTGGTTGCCCTTGCCACACAAACAGAACAAAAAATGGGTAACTATGGGAGGTGGTGGATATGTTAATTTGCATCACTATAATAACCTTTTTTGCTATCTGTATGTTGCCTATTATATCAGACGAGATCGGGCGCATTCAGGGTGGTATGGCCGTAGACGCCTATTATATCATATCATGTATTTTTTAAAAGCTTTTATTTAATGAATGCTAATTCCATAGGTACAACTTTAGGAATATAGTGGTTCTTCCCCCCATACCCGCCCTCCCACCCCAACTCCCATATCACCTCCTACTCCCTCTCCCATCCCATTATTCATTAAGATTCATTTTTAATTAACTTTATATACAGAAGATCAACTCTATACTAAGATTTCAACAATTTGCACCCATACATACACACAAAGTATAAAAGTACTGTTTGAGAACAAGTTTTACAGTTAATTCTCAAAGTACAACACATTGACAGAGATCCTACATGGGGAGCAAGTGCACAGTGACTCCTGTTGTTGATTTAACAATTGGCACTCTTGTTTATGACATCAGTGATCACCTGAGGATCTTGACATGAGCTGCCAAGGCTATGGAAGGCTTTTGACTCCACAAACTCAGTCAGTATTTCTTCAGGGCCATAATCAAAGTGGAAGTTCTCTCCTCCCTTCAGAGAAAAGTATTTTCTTCTTTGATGGCCACTTCTTTCCACTGAGGTCTCACTCACAGAGGTCCTTCACATGTCATGTATTTCATGTATATACCATAAAATTTGTTTAAAAAAAAAGCAAAAAGATTCTTAAAAATTCTAGCTCTACAAAAATGTGTTTTCTGAGTCTTTGAGAATAAAACTTTAGAAGAATCTACTGTTTCCTGATTGAGCATATTAGTTACTACTTTTGTGATAGTGAAAAATCTCTCAAGTGAAAATAAACACTTTTTACCTAATTTATTCCTTAACACTGTAATTTTAATACCAATGTAGCAATATGCACTGTAGTATATCATTAGATGTATAGAGTGTAAATGTTAGGTTGGTACCTAACTCCTGTCTGAAGTTGTAGCAATTTTCTTTTTTTTAAAAGATGTATTTTTTTATTTGAAAGTCAGAGTTACACAGAGAGAGGAGAGGCAGGCAGGCAGACAGGAGGGAGAGAGAGGTCTTCCATCTGCTGGTTCACTCCCCAATTGGCTTCAACAGCCAGAGTTGTGCTGATCCGAAGCCAGGAGCCTCTTCCAGGTCTCCCTCATGGGTGCAGGGGCCCAAGGAGTTGGGCCATCTTTTGCTTTCCCAGGCCATAGCAGAGAGCTGGATTGGAAGTGCAGCAGCTGGGACTTGAACCGTTGCCCATGTGGGATGCCGGCGCCGCAGGTGGCGGCTTCTCCTGCTACGCCACAGCACCGGCCCTGCAGTTTCCTTTTGTTACAAAACCTGTGTATCATTTTAGGTTTCCTAAGAAAATGAAATTCTTGTCCAGATACAGATGGGATGATTCGCTCCTTTCCCTTCCCAGTGCCCCTGCACTGCCCTGGGGGCTGGTTAGGAAGCTGGCCACAGTGCTCTTGCCGAGAGAGCACAATGCGCTGCGGGCCCAGCCAGCATTTTATTGGTTTCCTGACTCATTCCTGGGCACAGTGTCCTATGGGAACATGCCCTCAAATTGGCTGTAAATGTTTAGATTTTCCTAAGCATAATGAGATAGAAAATGAGAAAAATAGGAAGTTTACTGGAGAAAGAAGTGTCAGGCTGGAGGAACTGTAAAAAAGGAGCTAAGGGTGGGTGAGGCAGTAACAGGCATATTCTAGCCTTGATTTTTGTTTTGTACTTTGAAATGGTTACATAAAAATAGTGCTCGCTACCCAACATTTACAGCTGTACTTTCTCTCTCTCTCTCTCTCTTTTTTTTAAAGACTTATTTTATTTTGAAAGGCTGAGTTAGAGTTAGAGTGAGGGGGAGGGGGAAAGGGAGGGAGAAGGGGAGAGGGAGGGGGAGAGGGAGAGAGCTCTTCTACCCACTGGTTCACTCCCCAAATGGCCACAACGGTCAGGGCTGGGTCTGGACAGAGCCAGGAGTCTCATCCAGGTCCCTCACATGGGTGCAGAGGCCCAGGGACTTGGGCCATCCTCCACTGCCTTCTCAGGCCATTAGTAGGGAGCTGGATTAGAAGTGGTGCAGCCGGGACTCAAACTGGCACCCATATGGAATGCTGGCCCTGCAGGCCATGGCCCAACCTATTACACCATGACACTGGCCCACAAAAATTTAGTTTTAAAGTAGTATAACATACTGAAAATTTTGAAGGTGAACAAAGGTGATCATCCTTAATTTCTCCGAGTTTGATTGCATGTGATTAATGTGTATATAATGTTATCTTACATTCTTTAATTAGAATTACATCTGCATCATGATAACTTTAAGTGTGTTTTTCCAACAGAGATTTGAAATGTGTATTTATCACAATATATTTTCTTTTTCTTTTTTTAAAAAAAGATTTCTTATTTGGCAGGCAGTTAAACAGAGAGGGAGACAGAGCGAGAGAGAGATCTTCCATCCGCTAGTTCACTCCCCAAATGGCCGCAGAGGTTGGAGCTGAGCCAGGCTGAAACTGGGAGCCTAGAGCTCCATCTGGGTCTCCCACATGGGTAGCAGGGACCCAAGCACTTGGGCCGTCTTCCACTGCTTCCACAGACCATTAGCAGGGAGCTGGCTTCACAATGCTGGCCCCCAGTGTGTTTTCTAAACCTTTCATGCGGTTGTTTTAACATTTCTTCCACAGGCTACGGCTTCTTTTGCAGTCTGTTGTGGATGCGAACATGAACACCCTGCGGGTGTGGGGAGGAGGAGTTTACGAGCAGGATGAATTCTATGAGCTGTGTGATGAGCTGGGAATAATGGTGAGTCACTGACAGCTGTGTTGTGTGCTGGTGAGCTACTGTACACTCAGTGTGACCTGCAGTGTTCTGAGCAGGTGACCCTTACTCCCTTTCTCAGAGCCAGGAGTGATGTCCCATTTTACGCTGAAGCAAGTCATGACATCATGTAAACTGAGAGTTATAGTTGATAGGGAACATCAGAATTACTTAATGATTTTTAAATGATCAGCATTCTTTATAAATTAGTTATGTCTAAGTGTATATCTACTTGTCTTTGTTATTTTCTTCGATATGTAAGTATACATAAAATAGTTAAAAAGCCCAACATTTAGGACCTCTAACAAAACAATAAGAAAAACAATAAAATTAAGTGAAGAAATGGTGTGGTTAATATTGTTATTAAATGCTTTCAATGTGTTTTGCATTGGTGGGGATTAAGCCAAAGAAATATATTCTTTTAGTTCTCATATTGCAGTTCTAGATATACAGCCTGCCACAGAAGAAGAATTATAAAAATAATAAGGCTTATGATGCTGCTGCTGATGTATTCCAGTATTGACTGAGTGTCCCACAGCGTTCTAAGTGCTCTGAGTGTATTCTTTTATTTTTGTCCATGCCTGTCCAGGGAAGCAGTTACTATTGTTCTCTATCCTTATTTACAGGTATGGAAACTGACGCGTGGAATGGTTAAATACTTTGACTAAACCACACAGCCTTTTTGTGTGGTGGAGTTAAGAGTCCCACTCCAGGGGCCGGTGTTGGGTGCAGTGGCGAAGATGCTGCTTGAGATGCCCACATCCCATAACTGAGGCTCTGGGTTCAAGTCCCAGCTCTGTTTCCCACCCAACTTCCTGCCAGTGTGCATCTTGGAATCCAGCAGATGACTCAGGTGGTTCGGTCCCTGCATCCCACATGGGAGACTGACATTCAGATCCAAGCTCCTGGCTCTGGCCTGGCCAGTTCTGGCTGATGGTGGGGAGTGATCCAGCGAATGGAGGATCTTTCTGTCCATGTGCTTTTCAAGACAGAGAGATAAACAGGTGGCTGTCTGGCTGGCTGGCTGGCTGATAGATAGATGATGGATGGATGGATAGATAGATGATAGATCGATTGATCGATTTCCACTCTGGCAGGCTATTTTGGGGCTGTGCTCTAAACCACTGCCCTGCAGCACCCCCACCCCCACCCAGAAGAGTGTTACATGGTTTCATTACTAAAACTGCATGCAGCAGTCCTTTGACCATAAAAGTTAATTCCTTCATAAATAAAGCATGATTCTTAGCTGTTTGGTGCATCTCTCGATACCGAATGCCTGGTGAAAATTAGAATGAGTAAGGAGTGAGGAGGGACTGAGGGAAGCTTCCTTTCATTTCTCTTTAACACACTCACTATTTCCTTTTGTAAAACATTGTGATATATTTTTACTTCTTTTAAAGGCAGAGAGATGAAAGAGGAGAATTTTTCATTTGCTAGTTCACTTCTCAGATGCTCCCAACATCTGGTGATGGACTAAGTCCAGGTCAGGAGCTGGGAACTCAGTCTGGGTCTCCCGTGTGGTTGGTAGAGACCCAAGTACTTAAGACACCACCTGGTACCTCCCAGGCACAAATTAGCGGGAAGCTGGGTGCAGGAGTGGAGCTGAGACTTGAACCCAGGCACCTCAATATGGAATGTGGGCATCCCAAGTGGCATTTTAGTCATTGTACCAAGTACCCATCATCTGTTTCTTTTGAATTCTCCTTTCTTCCTTTACCTTCGTTTACTTTAAAAAACATCTTATTATTGTACATATATGAAAGGCAAAGAGACAGAGAAAGCTCCCATTTACTGATTCACCCTCCAAATACCCACATCACTGGGGCTGGGCCAGGCTGAAATCAGGAGCCAAGAATTCAGTTCTGGTCTCCTATCTGGGTGGCAGGGACCCAGCTGCTTGAGTCATGACCTGCTGCCTCCCAGGGTTGCACATTAGCAGGAAACTGGAACTGGGTGTGGAGCAGGGACTTGGACCCAAGCACTTCAATCTGGGATGCGTGTGTCCAAGTGGATCTTAACTGCTGCCCAGCCGCTGTGCAGGTGGCATCTTAACTCCAATACCAGATGCCTGTCTCCTTCCATTCCTTTCTACCTAACACTATATCTTCTTCTTTTTCAAAGATTTGTTTGTTTATTTGAATGTCAGAATTATGGAGAGAGGGAGGAAGGGAGAGAGAGATACATATATCTTCAGTCTGCCAGTTAACTCCCCAAAGGGCTTCAACAGACAGGGCTGGGCCAGGCCAAAGCCAGGAGCTTCATCTGGGTCTCCCACATGGATGCAGGGGCCCAAGCACTTGGGCCATCTTCTGCTGCTTTCCCAAGCACATTATCCGGGAGCTGGATTGGAAGTGGAGCAGCCAGGACATGAACCGTGCCCATATAGGATGCTGGCGTTGCAGGTGGAAGGTTAACCCTCTATGCCACAGTGCCAGCCCCCATTGTCTCTTCTAAGGCACTGCATCTTCTATGCAGTTCTGGAAAGGCTAGAGTTCTGTGAGTGCCTGTCCTCCATGTCCTTATGCATAGCGTTGCTCATATGATCACACTCTGAGATAACTTGATTTTTCATTTGTGGGAAAAATAGTCACCAGCGTTCAGACTGAAGACATCCTTTCTGTGCAATGAAATTTATGAAGTGCTTTGTTGTCTGATTTGATCCCATAGATATGGCAGGATTTCATGTTTGCCTGCGCCCTCTATCCAACCGACCAGGGCTTCCTGGACTCTGTGAGAGCAGAAGTTGCCTACCAGGTATGTTATTGAATACCAAGAAGAAGGAAAATGTGTTCCTTGCAGTTTTGCCATTTGTTAAATCTCTCCTCAATTTTTTTTTGCTCCCTAATAAATAAAAATTGCACAGTCTACCTGACTGTACCCAGTGTCACAGCTTTTTGTCACTTATTTGTTGATGACGCCCAGATTTATAACTTCTTGGCTGAATTCTTCATTCTTGTATCCAACTGCCTACTGGTGCCTCTGCTGGGAGGCTCAGTAGGACTTTACAAACACACCGTGTCCAAAGCACGTTAGCCCTCGCCTGTCTTGCTTCTCTTGCAGTTATCCTCACCTCAGCAATTGGCTGCACCACTCTGGATTGCTCAAGACAAATATTAAAAGTGATATTTTAAATATCATATTTAAATATGCATATTAAGAGAAAACATATGATATCTGTCTTTTTGGTCTGCCTTATTTCTCTAAGCATAATGGTATTTAGTTGCATCCATTTTGTAGCAAAAGACAGGATTTCATTCTTTTTATGGCTGAGTAGTAGTCCATCATGTATATATACAACATTTTTTAACTCCATCACCATTATGGAATACATTATAGAGATTCCTCAGAAATCTGAAAATAGATCTACCATATGACCCAACCATCCCACTCCTGGGAATTTACCCAAAGGAAATGAGATCAGCATATGAAGGAGTTGTCTGTACCCCCGTGTTGATAGTGGATCCTTTAATTTGAAATGGTGAGAATGCTTACCTATAAATGGTAATAGTGCTTATTTATAAAACCACCAACTGATAGTTTCAGCCATGTGCTGAGCACTTTTATTTTTGTAACAAACTCTGCTCAGAGGAACAAGAGAAACTTGCTTGGAAGCACAGGTTGCTTATAGTACCTCTCCCTCGATCATAAGCATGGGTTTCTGTGTAGAATCAGAGTGGCATTCTTGACAGTATCAGATAATTCTAAAGGATGAGTTATTTCAAAATACAGCCAAAAGGACTTTGAGGGGACTCTGACCCAACCAATGTGGGACAGTTTGTCATTCAACATGGATATGAATGTCCATGGATTGAAATCCATCTAGTGTGTCAAAATTCAGAGTTCATAATACTGTGTCTGCAGATGTAAAAAGGGCATTCAAAAATTCCTGAAAGTGCTTACTAAGAAGAAAAATACATGGATTAAAAAATGTGTTAAGAAAATTATTCTCCTTTTTAAAAAACAATTTATTTATTTGAAAGGCAGAGTTGGAGGGAGGGAGTGGGGGAGGAGAGAGAGGAGATCTTGCATTTGCTGTTCATTCCTTACATGACTGTAACATCCAGGGCTAGGCCAGGCTGAAGCCAGGAGCCCAGGAGCTTCATCCAGGTCTCCCACGTGGGTAGAGGGGCCCAAACATTTGGGCATCTTCTGCTTTTTCAGGCACATCAGCTGGGAGCTGGATTGGAAGTGGAGCAGTTAGGGCGTGAAGTGGTGCCTGTGTGGGATGCTGGTGTCACAGTTAGCAGCTTAACCCACTATGCAACAACACCAGCCTTTCTTGTCTTTTTTTTTTTTTTAATGATTTATTTATTTGAAAGGTTAGGTGGGGGGTGGGGAGAGAGAGAGAAAGAGATCGATTGATCTTCTATCCACTGGTTCACTTCCAAATGCCCACAACAACCAGGGCCAGGCTGAATTAAAGCCAGGAACCTGAAACTCCATCCAGGTCTCCCACATGGGTGGCAGGGCCATCATGTGCTGCCTCCCAAGTGCAGTAGCAAGAAGCTGGCTGAGAAGTGGAGGAGTCAGCACTCAAACCATGCATTCTAATAGAGGATGCGGGCAACTTAGCCTGCTGCACTACGTTGCCAACCTTATCTTTTAGTTTTCTTTTCCGTGAACTTTTAAGAGTATTCTCCTATTTTTTTTTTTTTTTTGAAAACCTATAAAGAAATGCAAATAAGTGAATCTGTAACACTCAAGAAGAGGCTGTGATTAAGTGGAAACACAAAGAAGGCCTGTGGGGGTGTCTGGTAAACTTCTCTCTCTTGAGTTGGGGGTGTTACAAGTATGACTGCCTTTTAATAATTCACCATGTCATAATTTGGTTTCTGCATCTGTTTTGCCTTGAAGGTTTAAAAAGTGCATAGTTGGCCGGCGCCGCGGCTCACTGGGCTAATCCTCCGCCTTGCGGCGCCGGTACACCGGGTTCTAGTCCCGGTCGGGGCACCAGATTCTGTCCCGGTTGCCCCTCTTCCAGGCCAGCTCTCTGCTGTGGCCAGGGAGTGCAGTGGAGGATGGGCCAAGTGCCTGGGCCCTGCACCCCATGGGAGACTAGGATAAGTACCTGGCTCCTGCCATCGGATCAGCGTGGTACGCCAGCTGTGGCGGCCATTGGAGGGTGAACCAATGGCAAAAGGAAGACCTTTCTCTCTGTCTCTCTCTCTCACTGTCCACTCTGCCTGTCAAAAAAAAAAAAAAAATTAAAAAAAAGTGCATAGTGACACCTCCCTTGCTAAAAGCCATCCAGAGGCGGCTTCTTGTCCTCAGGATGAAGTTAGAGATCATCATGGAGCGGTTCTGTCCTGGCCGGGGTCTCCAGCCATCCCAGGCCCCATCTCCCTTTGCTCTCTGTGTACCGGAACACCTTCCCTGTCAGCCTCCTTTGGGGCACTGCCTCACTCATTCGTTCTCTGGGAAAAATCTCCATCTACCAGTCTAGGTCAGGTCATCCCTTCCTTTGTCCGAGTGACACACAGCATACTTCCAGTTGCTTGTTCAGTGTTCTGTCACCCTTGCAAGATTGTCATCTCCCTGAAGTCTAAGACTTGTTTCCTTCTGTGTTCCTATTCCATGGCTGCATTCTTCACTGGGTGGATAGATTGGATAAATAACTTAAAATATTAATTATGGTTACACAGGTTGTAGGCTTATCAGTTTTATTTTCTTTTGTATAAATAGAACATCTGTGTACTGTCAGTTCTTTTCTGTATTTTATGCAGAGTTTGTTAAAATTTCAAAGTAAATCCTACTGTAAAATTATAAGTTAGCTTGAAGCATCCCTAAGCTTTTTCCTCTTCAGAACTGTTTGTACTTCCATCATCACCATAATATACCAGTCACTTTTGGTAGCGGCCCTCACTCTCCTGGCCAAGAACAGAAGGGAAAAAAGGAAATACTGTTGTGAAGTTGGTTTAGAGAAACAAAAGACTTGAATTTTAGAAAGGAAACATGTGTCCTTACTACAGCCTTAAAGCCCCTCTACTTCACGTGTCTGAGTTTCTTCGCTTCTTGAATGGAGACCTCAGAACACCAGTGGGCTCCATCGCTGGGACTGGCTGTTACAGTGAAAGAGGAGCTATATACTCCAGCAAAGCAGCGTTGCCAGCACATGTTCCAAGGGAATTGCTCTTGGCTGTTGACTCCTGCTGTCCTCCTCAAACATTTCATGACCCTACTCTACCAGGGCCTGCGTCCCGGTGTTAGAAGAAAGGAACAGGTGTGAACCACCCAAGATACAGCAGAACTGGATCCTTTGCCCTTACACAGGACTAGCCTGGGTGAGCCCAGTCTCTGCAGGGCTCATGTCTCAAGGTTGGCAGTGTTTTCATACTCATTCTCTGACCTCCTCCTTTCTATATAGGTATCCTTAGTTGATTTTTCAGGACGTGACATTGATAGTTATTTCAGGAGCCACATTCTCTATCATCCGAGTCTGTTTTCCACATGTTTTTACTTCTAGAGTACCTTCAGGATTCACTCGCTTTGCAACACCTTCTCTAGTTCTCTTTCTAGTTTTTGTTCTCAGTGGAGACTGGTGTAGTAGTCTCCATCCTCTTAGTGGCTGTGCCTCATTTGTTTCTTCACAAAGGACTTCAACTTGCTCCTTTTTTTTTTTAAAAAAAGGATTTATTTATTTATTTGAAAGGCACAGTCAGAGAAAGGAAGAGACACAAAGAGAAAGATCATCCATCTGCTGGTTCACTCCCCAAATGGCGCTAATGGGTGGACCTTCTTCCAGGTCTGTTGGGTGCGTGCAGGGGCCCAAGTACTTGGACCATCCTCTGCTGCTTTCCCAGGTGCATTAGCTGGATTGGACGTGGAGAAGCCAGGACTTGAACCAGCACCCATATGGGATGCCGACATTGCAGGCAGTGGCTTTACCCGCCGTGCCACAATGCTGGCCCTTTCAACTTGCGCTTGAGAATGAATCCTTGTAATGTGGCATCTCCTGCCTTTTGCATTTATAGGAATCCTTTTCTGGCAATTCAGGTAATGATGACTTTGATTTCTTTTTTTTTAATATATAATTTTTTATATAGGTGAGAAAAGGAACGTCATCTTCTCCGTATTTAGGAAATTTGTGCTTAGATAAAAAGAACCTCAGAGTTTTCTTAAATGATATTTCCAAAGTTAGTAATTTTCTAATGAATTTTCTGGCATATAAGAATTTATGTGCAGAAATGCAATGTCTATCAGTAACTGTAGCTGTCAGGATTTTTTTATGTTAAGTATTTGAAAATTATTTTATGTTTTCTCAAATGTCAGGTCAGGAGACTGAAATTTCATCCCTCCATCATCATCTGGAGTGGCAATAATGAAAATGAAGCAGCGCTGATGATGAACTGGTATTCAATAAAACCCAGTGACCTGAAAACCTACATGAATGACTATGTGACTCTGTATGTGAAAAACATGAGAGAAGTCATCTTCTCAGTAAGTAATGACTTTCAATGCAGTACGATTTAAGAATGTGTTTTTAAAATTAGTAACTTTGAATTGAGATATATATATATATATATATATATATATATATATATATATATTTGAAAGGCAGACCTACAGAGAGGCAGAGGCAGAGAGAGAGGTCTTCAATCCGATGGTTCACTTCCCATATGGCCACAATGGCTGGAGCTGAGCCAATCCGAAGCCAAGAGCCAGGAGCTTCTTCCTGATCTCCCACGCAGGTGCAGGGGCCCAAGGACTTGGGCCATTTTCTACTGCTTTCCCAGGCCATAGCAAAGAGCTGGATCAGAAGTGGAGCAGCTGGGACTTGAACTTGTGCCCATATGGGATGCCGACACTGCAGGCAGTGGCCTTACCTACTACACCACAGTGATGGCCACAATATAGTATATTTTACACTCCTTTTTAGGGCAGTATTCAACAATATGTTTTTTGAAACATTTATTGATTGATTTGAAAGGCAGAGTGGGGAGAGGGAGGGAGAGAAAAAGGGGGAGGGAGGGAGATATATAATATTATATTAATATATAATTTACATAATATATTTACACATTATATATAATATATTTATATATTATAAATATATATTATATACTTATATAATATATATTTATAATATATAAATATATTATAAAAGCATATAATATTTATATATAATATATATGTACATATAAATATGTATTATATAAAACATATATAATATAAAATATATATTATCTATATAAAGAGAGAGATATCTTCCATCTGGTGGTCCACTCTCCAAATGGCCACAACAGAACAGCCAGGGCTGGGCCAGCTGAAGTCAGGAGCCGGAAACTCCATCCAGGTCTCTCACATGGGTGGCAGGGTTCCAAGTGCCCAGTTCATCCTCTGCTGCCTTCTCAGGCACATTAGCAGGAAGCTGGATTGGAAGTGTAGGAGTAAGATTCCAATACTGGGACTCCAATAATCACCACAAGTGGTGGCTTAATCTGCTGGGCCAAAAAAGGCCACCATGTGGAGAATTTTCTATATACAAAGTGTGGTGTATGAGCTTTAAGTAATATTTGTAGAAAACTTATTTGTAATATTTTAACTCACAATATTGGTACTATGTTTTCTTTTATATGTGATAAGAAATGGATTCAATTAGCTGAGAATTTTCATTACATCTCACAGTGATTCAGCCAACTTCCTGGCTGGGTCACTTACTATCTATATAATCTTGGCACGTGACTTTCTGTTCTCCTGTCTATAAAACTGGGTTAATAAATAGGGACTAAGTGTTAGGAGTTGCTAGGTGGATCCAGTGAGATGATGTATGGAAGTACAGACTGTGACCTTTAAGGCTGGCCATCATTCTTATTCTTGTTAGTTTCATTTAACAGAGCTCTGCAGTTATGTGCACTTTTTCATCTCTAATTTCAAAAAATTAGGTTGTCTGTGGCACCTTATCTATTCCCCAAAAGAGAAACTTGATGCCTTTCTCACAAGGGACCTAATTACCTTAACATGAATTTTTTTTGGGGGGGGAGCAGTAGTTTGCAAATTTCTTTGAAGATGGACGCTATAAATGCTATCTAATCATTATTCTATCAAAGCATAGTGCATTTAAGGGAAAGCAACATAAAGCGATCCATCTCCATACTAAATAATGATTAGTTTCCTATTGTACTTCATGTTCTCATCTGATGGGATCTCTTAGTTCAAATAAACATATAAGGAGATGACTGGAGGAGATTGTCTGTGAGATATGCAGCAACAAAAAACAGGCCTCAAGGATAAGTGACTGATAAATGGAAGGAGACTGTAATGCAACATCCAGGGAGGGTGTCTTAGGCAGAGACTTGTTAGTGATCTTTTAGTAATGACTAATACTTACAGATGGTGCATCTTAGCAAGTTCTATAAAAATAGAGGGAAATAGATAGACTTTGATCAATTGGATGTCAAAGCCGTTACAACAGAATTTTTTTTTTGAAATGTGAAATTACCTGTAATCTCATATTTTAAAATGTTTTTAAGTTTAGCAAGCTTCTATTGAGTACTTTTTGCCGGGAGCAAGCCTCACTCCTGATGTTGTGGGGAGACTTTTGTCCTTGGGGAACATGTTGTCTGCTGTCAGAAGGAAGTGTGGAAAAATGACCACTTCTACAGGGCAGAATGAGAGAAGTGCTACAAAAAATGTAGTTCCAAAATGTTGGGAATTATGTGGAAAAACCATTAATTTTAACCAGAAGAATCTGAGAAGGTTTTCAAGGACAAGGTGGCATCAAACCAAGCCTTAATGGTAGGGCAGAATTTTGAGGAAAGCATTGTCCAGTAGGTGTTTTAGACCCTGACAACCGTGTGTGTAAAGGTGAAAAGGTGTGAGAGTGTGCAGTGTGCCTAGGGGGCAGCAAGCAGAGCCCAGGGCCTGAATGCAAAGGCCCTGCTGGTTTGGAGAAGGAGAGACAAAGACAGATAAGACTTTTAGAAACAAATCGTGGAATGACTTTGCATCATGTATGTTGATGGACTTTATTGAGGAGTCAGTGGGAACTAGCGGGCCTTTAGGGAGGGAAAGAACGTCATCTGTCCCATGTTCCTGGAAGATACCTTTACTAGCAAAGTATTAGGGAGATGAGTGATTCTAGGTAAAGAAACCAGTTATAATGGCTAAGCTAATTCCAAGGTCTTGAGAATGTATTATATGCCAGGTATTAATACATAAAATATAGCTATGTTAATTAATATTATATAAAAATGTGTCAATTATAAAGGTGTTTTATCAAACTTACTTGTTTAATTTTTAGAACTACCCTGAAATGTAGGTAATGTCATCTTTGCTTTAGAGATGACAATCCTGGGGGTTTAGAGAGGTTAAAGTCATAGAGTTCATAGGTGGTAGTGTGCAGTGGTGTGGGACTGGAAATGTGATGGAAAACAGTATTTGAGTGTAGAGGTGGCACTATGCAGAGTGGTTGGTTGGGGGAGGCAGGAGAAGAGGGACCAACTGAAGATGAGTTCTACTTAGGTACCGGTAGTCAAGATAGGAAACGCAGTTAAGTAAGTTTAGAAGTTGTTAACAGGCATTCTGTTTTGAAAAGTTGGATTTCTGGTGCTGAAAGGGCAACACAGGTAGAAACATGGAGCTGGTTATGGGTATGTGAGTGTGGCGGTGAATGCAAGGCCAAGCCGGACACATGGGCTGGGAGTGATCAGAACCTCAGTGGGAGGGGAAGCCTTGAGAGAGGGTATGGAACAAAGACAGCTGCCGAGGGAGCAGTGTCCCTCTGAGCATGGAGAGGGAACCTGGGCAAGGAAGACTGAGAACGGTTGGTGGAAACTGGAATGCAGAGGAGTAGTGAATGGACGCCGGGGTGGAAAGAGCTTCAGACACACCAGGGGGTAATTGTGGTCATTTATGCACAACAGAGAGGGAACGAGTGAGCAGTGAAAGAACTTAGTAAGCCCAAGTCCGTGGACAGCTTGTGAAAAAAGCTTACAGAGAGTAGAATGATCAGAAATGTAATGTCTGGAACGGAGCAATGAGTGGGTGATAAGGGAATGTGCTGGACTTCAAGGGATCAAGGGAACTTTTTGTAAGGCTGAGGGAGTCCTGAGGTAAGGGAAAAGGGCAGGGGAAAGAGAGGCTTTTAAAACCAGTTCAGAGTAACTTCTGCGTATAGTAGCAAGGCAAAGTAAGAAAATGACAGGAAGACACAGAAAGGTTGGAAAAAGAATGGAGTAAGGATTTTGTTTTTCTATGGTAGAAGAGAAATAACGGGAGAATATGGATGCATATAACAAGACACAGTGAGATCTAATGGGAAAAGTTGAGAAAAATTATTTTCTGAAGATGTATTTGTTATAGAACCTTACAGGCCTTCTACAGTTTTATCCCCCCAAAGGGTCCCATATCACACTTACAGCTACTCGTTCAGCATCCAGGTTCACCACTAGCTTGCAGTCTACTCTTTAAAAGGTCATTCTCCATGTCTGCTCCCTCTGAACCTCCAAGACACAGAAGGAACTGCAGCCTGGCACGTAGCAAGTGCTCAAAGGATATTTGGTACATGAATATTTGACGAATTCATCGATATGCATTCTCCTCTTTCTCATTTCTCTTTGTGGTGCTGAAAAGTGCTTGAGACACAATAATCATTTGACATAGACACAATAAATGACCTCCTCAGTGAAATACGAAGTGAGCTCATGTTTTGAGATGATAACAATTACAACATGTTTGAGTTCTGCCTGTGTGCTGGGCACCATGTTAAGAACAAATAATCCACGATAAGCTTCTACTTCTTACTCACTGGTGTTGGAATATAGCAACTCCATTTTTGGAAATACGAGTTCTTCCCTTGTTCTAGCTGCGCCATCCCCTCGGTCCTTACCTGCAAGTGGAGGAAGAAGATGAGAACGAGGCACATGACCCCACAGATTTGTTGAGGGCTAGGAAGCTCTTCCTAGGCTTGACTCTGTGTTATGGAAATGGGGGTGGATGGGAATGGTGGCAGACACTTCTACCCATAAGACTATTGAGACTTGGACCTGTCCAAAAATAATAAGGTTTTGATCTGAGAGTTTAATTCAGGTTCATCTGGCTCAGTAGCTTCTGTTCTTAACTCGGGGTTCTTAAGTGGAGGTGATTTTGTCCCTAGAGAACGTCTGTCAATGTCTGTATACACTGTGGGGTGGGAGGCATCATGTGGGTTGAGGCTAGGGATGCTGCTGCTAATAGCCTATAATGCACAAGGCCCTCCCCCAACCCCCTCCACACACACACACACACACACACACACACACAGAAAAGGAACCAGTTCAAAATGTTAACAGTGCCAAAGCTGCAAACTGCACTAGGTGTTGCACTACCTATGATGGATGAGCATGGAGGTAAAATGTGATCCAGACCTTAGGAACAGCTGCTGTGAGGAGCGAGCTAAGTGTTAATTAGGAAAGGATATAAAGGATTTGTGAAGAGCGGAGTAGTGCTGGTGGCTGCTGAAAGGGGAACAAAGCAAATGATCACAGTAATGTTCTAGTTTTTTTTTTTTAAGATTAATTTATTTATTTGAAAGTCAGAGTTGCATAGAGAAGGAGAGGCAGAGAGAGAGAGAGATAGACAGTGTCTTCCATCTGCTGGTTCACTCCCCAGTTGGTCACTATGGCCGGAGCTGCGCCAATCTGATGCAAAGCCAGGAGCTTCCTCTGGTTCTCCCACACAGGTGCAGGAGCCCAGGGTCTTGGACCATCTTCTACTGCTTTCCCAGGCCATAGCAGAGAATTGCATTGGAAGAGGAGCAACCAGGTCTTGGACCAGCACCCATAGGGGATGCTAGCACTGCAGGTGGCAGCTTTACCTGCTACGCCACAACACCGGCCCCGACAGTAATACGCTATCAGCTACTTAGCTGTACTAGGACTTGATGGTATTTTTAAAGAAGTAAACAATTTGCATTTTACTGGGTGAGAATATTATCTCTTAACTCCTTTTATTTCTGAACACAGGGAGACAAGAGTCGTCCATATATTATATCCAGTCCTACAAATGGGGCCAAAACCATCGCAGAAGGTTGGATTTCTGACAACCCGTACAGCAAGCATTTTGGTGACGTACATTTTTATGACTACAGCAGTGACTGCTGGGATTGGAAAATTTTCCCAAAAGCTCGATTTGTATCTGAATATGGATATCAGTCCTGGCCTTCCTTCAGCACCTTAGAAAAGGTAAGCCGGCTTGGACTGGCCAGTGATTCAGAATGGTAGACTAAGGGCATGCGTTGTTTCCGAATAAGGCTTCCCAAAGCCAAATGGAATCTGCTTCTTATTGAAATGAAAGTTTGGGAAGAAGATGGAGAAGGAGAGCTTTTTTTTCTTTAATCTTTGAAGAGCTAAGCTCTTATAATCATCATTTTGGGGATTATAACTTTTCTATATTGCTTTTAATTATGTTTTTTTCAGGAGTATTTAAAAGTTATATGAGAGCCAGGGGTTGCTTAAACCTGACATTATTGCACATGAAAATAACATTACTAGCTATTTTCTGAATATCCTATAGCAGCTGTTATCATTTACAGATATTTAGAACTGGATATTTCACTACAGTATGAAAGCTGAATGTGAAAGGTAAATCTTTGTCAAATGTTATCTTTTTCTTTTTTCTCCCCTCTCCTTCTATTTCTCCTCCTCCTTTCTTTCTCGTGTTGGTACTTTGACTTTCTGTATGGATTTTTACTGTCTATGTTTGTAAAGCTTCAGTTTAATTGTGTGTTCTTGGCTGGCGCCATGGCTCACTTGGCTAATCCTCTGCCTGCGGCGCCGGTACCCTGGGGTTCTAGTCCTGGTTGGGGCACCGGATTCTGTCCTGGTTACTCCTCTTCCAGGCCAGCTCTCTGCTATGGCCCGGGAGTGCAGTGGAGGATGGCCCAGGTGCTTGGGCCCTGCACCCGCATGGGAGACCAGGAGGAGGCACCCAGCTTCTGGCTTCGGATCAGCACAGTGCGCAGGCCGTGGCGGCCATTGCCGGGGTGAACCAACGGAAAGAAGACCTTTCTCTCTGTCTCCCTCTCACTGTCTATAACTCTACCTGTCAAAAAAAAAAAAAAAAAAAGTTGTGTGTTCTTTTTGCAACAGCTTTATTGAGATCTATGTCACAATACTGTGCACGCATAGAATGTGTACAATTCAGTGGACTTCAGCATGTTCGCAGGCTTGTTCAGCCATCACCACCATGTAATCTCAGAACATTTCCATCATTCAAACCCTACGCAGCGCCAGTCTTCTTTCTGTGTCAGTAGATTTGCCTATCCTGCACATTCCTTACGACTGGACCAAACAATGTGGTGTCTTTCGAGACAGGCTTCATTGACTTAGCTTAATCTTCTCAAGGTTCATCCATGTTGTACCATGTATTAGTATGTCATACATTTTTACTGCTGAATAATATTCTGTGGTGTGTGTATATTACAATTTGTTTTTCCACTTATCAACTGATAGGTATTGTGTTATTCCTACTTTTTGTCTATTATAAATAAAACTTATGAACATTTGTGTACATATTTTTATGTGGACATGTTTTCAGTTCTGGATATGAGCTAGGAGTGGAATTTCTGGGTCATGTGTTAACTCTGTTTAATATTCTGAGGAGCTGTCAAATGGATGCACAGTTTTAGATCCCTGCTATCAATGTATGAAGGTGACAATTTCTTCTTCTTGCCAACACTTGATGTTTTCCTTTTTTTTTTTTTTTTGACATTTCCCTGGAATCTTGCATTTACAGGAAATTTGACTTTACTTCATGTCTAATCATGTTGAACATATTTTCATATGCTTACTGTCCATTTATTTTACTTTGAGAAATGTCTATTCAAATTATCTGGCCATTTCTTACAACTATTTGTCTTTTATTATTGAATTATAAGAGCTTTTCATATATTCTAAATGCAGATATTTTACAAATATTTCTTCCAATTAGAGGGTTGCAATTTTACTCAGTTTATGGCATCATTTAGAGCACATTGAAGGTTTCTGATGAAGTCCTGCTTATCAGTCTCCTCTTATCTTTTGTGTTTTGTGTTGTATCTAAGAAATAATTGCCCAGCCTCACATTACAGATTTATTCCTGTTTTGTCTTGTAACAATTTTATAGTTTTAGTTCTTGCATTTTAGTCTATGCTCCATTTTGTGTTATTTTTTATGTACAGTGTAAGATCAGAGTAAATTTCATTCCTATGCATGTAGATTGTCAGTTTTTCCAACATTGTTTCATTGAAAACACTGTTCTTTCCGAACACGTAATTTCTTTAAAACATTGAATTCTCTTGCCTCTGAAAATCAATTAACTATAAAAGCTAGGTGTCGCTCCCCCTCTTCGTGGAGGAACGACACAGGACCCTGCGCTGTTCTTTCGTCTGCTCGGCCCTCCCCGGGTTTGCTGCTGGTTCTTCCCGGGGTTGGCTACTGTCCCTTCCACCTCCGTGGAAGGGCGGTTCCCCCTGGCCACATTCCCCACTTCCGCAGGGGAGCGGCACACCGCCGGCCGGCTCTCTCGGGGGCTGCACAGGTGTTCCTTCAGCTAGATGTTCCCCTTAGATGTTCCTGGTGCATGTTGTCTCTCTCCTCCTTTATAGTCCTCCTCCGCCAATCCCAACTCGGCTGCCCACACGCCAAGTACGCTGCTCTCCTCCAATCAGTAGCAAGTCCTACAGTTTATTGGTTGAACTGGAGGCAGCTGTGCGGAAGCTGTTTACTTCTCTCCCAGCGCCATACTGTGGGAGAGCAGATGCATAGAATAAGTCTTAACTCCAGTAACTCAGTCTAGTCCGGTTTGCTCCCCACAGCTAGGTTTTACTTCTGAATTCTCAATTCTGTTCCAGTGGCACATTTTGTCATTGTACACTTTCTTGATTACTGTAGCTCTGTAGTAAGTTTAGAAATCTGGAATAATCTTCTTTTCAAGATTATTTTAACTATTTTGGGTGTCTTGCATTTCCAAATAAGTTTTAGTATCAGCTTTGTAATTTCTGCAAAAAAAAGTCAGCTAGTATTTGTATTTTAAGGATATTATATATTCTATTTTTTTCTTTTTAAGATTTTATTTATTTATTTGAGATGTAGAGTTACAGACAGTGAGAGGTAGAGACAGAGAGAAAGATCTTCCTTCCGCTGGTTCACTCCCCAAATGGCTGCAACGGCCAGAGCTGCACCAATTCGAAGCCAGGAGCCAGGAGCCTCTTCCCGGTTTTCCCACGTGGGTGCAGGGGCCCAAGGACTTGGGCCATCCTCTACCACTTTCCCAGGCCATAGCAAGAGCTGGATTGGAAGAGGAGCAATCGGGACTAGAACCGGCACCCATATGGGATGCCAGCGCTGTATGTAGGCAGAGGATTAACTTACTGTGCCGCAGCGCTGGCCAAAATATTATGTCTTCTGACCAAAGAGCATAGGGATGTCTGTTTTAATTTCTTTAAAAATTGATTATGTATTTGAAAGACAGAGCAACACACACACACACACACACACACACACAGAGGGCAGGGGGGAGGAGGAGACAGAGAGAGGTCTTTCATCCACTGGTTCATCCCCTAAATGGCTGCAATGGCTGTTGCTAGGCCAAGCTGAAATCAAGAACAAGGAACTTCATCCTGGTCTCCCCTGTGAGCGGCAGGGGCCCAAGTCCATGGGCTGCCATTGTGCTTTCCCAGCAGGGAGGTAGATCAGAGGCAGAACAGCCAGGGCTGGAGCTGGCATCCATAGGAGATGCTGGTGTCACAAGCGGTGACTTAACCCACTGTGCCACAGTACTGGTTCGCTGTTTAATTTCTTTTGATCCTGTTTTGTGGTTTTCAGTGTACAAGTCTTATACTTCATTGGTTAACTTGGTCCCAAGTGTTGTTATTTTTGTTGTTACAGTAAATGGAATTATTTTCTTAATTTCATTTTTAGATGGTTCAGAGCTAACATATGAAGATATAATTGGTTTTATATATTGAACTTGTATCTTATAAAGAGTCTGAACAAATTTATTAACTGTAATAGTGCTTTTTGTGGATTCCTTAGGGTTGTCTCAGATGGAATGACATTATATATAAAGTAGAGATAGTTTATTTCCTCTTTTCCAATTTGGATGCCTTTTATTTCATTTTCTTGCTTATTGTCCTGGTCAGGACTTTTGTGTGACGTACAAAAGAAGTGATGAGAACAGAAATCCTAGACTTTTTCTTATGGGGAATCCCTTCAGTCTTTTGCCATTTAGTCTGATATTAACAGTAAGTTTTTTTTTTAAAGATTTATTTATTTATTTGAAAGTCAGAGTTACATACAGAGAGAATGAGAGCCAGAGAGAGAGAGGTCTTCCATCTGCTGGTTCACTCCCCAATTGGCCGCTACAGCTGGAGCTGCACTGATCCGAAGCCAGGAGCCAAGGGCTTCTTCAGGGTCTCCCATGTGGGTACAGGGGCCCAAAGACCTGGGCCATCTTCTACTGCTTTCCCAGGCCATAGCAGAGAACTTGATTGGAAGTGGAGCAGCCAAGACTTGAACCAGCACCCATTTGGGATGCCTGCGCTGTAGGTGGCAACTTTACCTGCTGTGCCACAGCACCAGGCCCCACTTTCTAGCTTTAAATAAGGGATGATGGAGTTGCCAAATCCTGGTTTTATGATTCGACGTTCACCAGTAACGATGATAGCCAAAACATTTACGAAGTTACAGCCAAAGAACAAACTCTGAGCTCTTTTCTGAAGCACTTTCCCAGCTTCTCAGGACAAAAAGAAAAGTAATTTTATTGCTAACTTTCCAATTTGTTACTCTTATTCCTATTCAAAAGGTCTCGTCTAAAGAGGACTGGTCTTACAGTAGCAAATTTTCACATCATCGACAACATCATATGAATGGTAACTCCGAAATGCTTCTTCAGGCCACATATCATTTCAGCCTCCCTAAAAACACAGATCCAGTACGGAAATTTAAAGATACCATCTACCTTACTCAGGTATGTCGATTTCATTTTGTTGTTGAACAGGTTCCTGCAGTTAACATAAGAGATCATGTGGATTTTGTAGGCCTTACTTGATGAAAGAATTCAAGTTTTTATTCTAATGAAAGAATTTTTCTTTGCAACCCATATGTGATGACACATTAAACTGAGTGAATTCTTTTTTTAAAAAAGATTTATTTATTTTTTCAACTTTTATTTAATAAATATAAATTTCCAAAGTACAATTTTTGGATCATAGAGGCTTTTTCCCCCATAACCTCCCTCCCACCCACAACCATCCCATCTCCCACTCCCTCTCCCATCCTTCATCAAGATTCATTTTCAATTATCTTTATATACAGAAGATCGACTTAGTATATACTAAGTGAAGATTTCAACAGACTGCACCCACAGACACACAAAATATAGAGCACTGTTTGAGTAGTAGTTTTACCGTTAATTCGCATAGTACAACACATTAAGGACAGAGGTCCTACATGGGAAGCAGGTGTACAGTGACTCCTATTGTTGATTTAACAATTGACACTCTTATTTGTGATGTCAGTAATCACTCGAGGCTCTTGTCATGAGCTGCCAAGGCTATGGAAGCCCCCTGAATTCACAAACTTCAATCTTATTTAGACAAGGCCATAGTCAAAGAGGAAGTTCTCTCCTCCCTTCAGAGAAAGGTACCTCCTTCTTTGATGGCCCATGCTTTCTGCTGGGATCTCATTCACAGAGATCTTTCATTCAGATCTTTTTCTTTTTTTGTTGCCGCAGTGTCTTGGCTTTCCATGCCTGAGAAACTCTCATGGGCTTTTTAGCCAGGTCCGAATGCTGTTTAGGACATCTGCCATTCTATGAGTCTGCTGCATATCACGCTTCCCATGTTGGATCCTTCTCTCTTTTTTAATTCTATCAGTTAGTATTAGCAGACACTACTCTTGTTTATGTGATCCCTTTGACACTTAATCCTGTTATGATCAATTATGAACTGAAACTGATCACTTTGCCTAGTGAGATGGCATTGGTACGTGCTACCTTGATGGGATTGAATTGGAATCCCCTGGCACGTTTCTAGCTCTGTCATTAAGGGTAAGTCCAAGTGACATTGTGCCGAAGTGTACATGTCCTCCCTCTCTTATTCCCACTCTAATATTTAACAGGGATCACTTTTCAGTTAAATTTAAACGCCTAAGAATAATTGTGTGTTAATTAAATAATTCAACCAATGGTATTAAGTAGAACAAAAAAATACTAAAAGGGATAAAGTATTAAGTTGTTCCTCGACAGTCAGGACCAGGGCTGATCAAGTCATTGTTTCTCATAGTGTCGATTTGACTTCAACTGGTTTCCTTTTTGGTGCTCGATTAGTTGTCACTGATCAGGGAGAACATATGATATTTGACCCTTTGGGATGGGCTTATTTCTTATTTCACTCAGCATGATATTTTCCAGATTCCTCCATTTTGTTACAAATGACTGGATTTCATTTTTTTTTACTGCTGTATAGTATTCTATAGAGTACATATCCCAGAATTTTTTCTGTTGGTGGGCCTTTAGGTTGATTTCAGGACTTAGCTATTGTGAATTGAGCTGCAATAAACACTGAGGTGCAGACAGCTCTTTTATTTGCCAATTTAATTTCCTTTGGGTAAATTTCAAGGAGTGGGATGGCTGGGTCATGTGGTAGGGCTATATTCAGGCTATTTATTTATTTTTAAAGCCAGAGTTACAGAGAGAGGTCTTCATCTGCTGGTTTACTCCCAAGATGTCTGCAATGGCCAGCGCTGGGCCAGGCTGAAGCCACGAACCAGGAGCTTCATCTGGGTCTCCCACATGGGTGGCAGGGGTCCAAGTCCTTGGGCCATCTCCAAGTGCTTTCCCAGGAGCATTAGCAGGGAGCTGGATCAGACGTGAAGCAACAGGGACACTAACCTGGAAGACAGCCTTGATGGATCAGGTCTTGGGTTCCTGCCATGCAAGTAGAAGACCTGGACTGTATTCCTGGCTCCTGGTTCTGTCTCTGGCCCAGCCATGGCTGTAGTAGGCATTTGAAGAGTTAACCAGCAGGTGGAAATTTCCCTGTCTGTCTCTGTCTCTCAAATAAGTAAAAAAAATAGTAATTTTTAAATGAACAGAAATATTGAATAAGCACTTCAGAAAACAAATGGACTTATGGTCAATAAATATGTGAAAATATTCTCAAGATGCAGTTAAAGCCATACCAAGATATCCCTACATATCCAGCAGATTAGCTGAAATGATTTATTGACAATACAAATTGTTGGTGAGGAGGGAGAACCTTTTAGATGTTGTTAGTAGAAGTATAAATTTAACAACTTTGGAAAAATTTATGGCGGTTTCTACCTAACCTAAATATTTACTTCCTTTTAAAAAAATTTGTTTAAGGAATACAGCTTCATGCATTTAATATATACAAATTTGGGAACATGGTTATTCTTCCTTCACTCCCTCCCTACCACACATACTCTCACCTCTCTTCCTCCTCCCTCTTCCTTTCCCAATCTTATTTTTTTAGAGATCAGTTTTCAGTTAATTTTATACTCATAAGATTAACCCTACACTATGTAGAGAGTTCACCAAATAGTATGAAGAAAAAAGAGAAAGAGAACAAACACACACACACACACAATTGTTCCTCGACAGTCAGGGCAAGGGCTGTTCAAAATCATAGGATCTCAAGGTGTCAGTTTTGCTGCTATATATTACCTTTTAAGTACTCCATTAGTTACCACAGAGCAGAGAGACCATATGATATTTGTCTTTTTTTGACTATTTCACTAAGAATAAAGGTTTCCTGTTGCATCCATTTTGTTGTAAATGACAGGATTTCATTTCTTTTTTTGTTTACACTGCTGTTGTAGTATTCCATAGTATATATATACACCATAATTTCTTTATCCAGTTTTCAGTTGATGGACATCCATATCTTAGCTAATGTAAATTGAGCTGAGATGAATATAGGTGTACAGGTCACTGTTTCATATGCTGATTTCATTTCCTTTGGACCAATTCCCAGGAGTGGGATGGCTGGGTCATATGATAGATCTATATTCAGATTTCTGAGATGTCTGCATACTGTCTTCCATAGTGGCTGTACCAATTTACATCCCCACCAACAGTAGATTAGGGTACCTTTTTCCCCACATCTTTACCAGCATTTGTTGTTTGTTGATTTCTGTATGAGAGACATTCTAATAGGGGTGAGGTAAAACTTCATTATGGTTTTGATTTGCACTTCCCTAATGGCTAGCGATCCTGAACGTTTTTTCATGTGTCTATTGACCATTTGAATTTTCTCTCTTGAAAAACATCTGTTCAGGTCCTTTGCCCATTTCTTGGCTGGGTTTTGTTTTTTATTTATTTATTTTTTTGTGGTCGTTGAGTTTCTGGAGCTCTTCATAGATTCTGGAAGTTAATCCTCTGTAAGTTGCATAGTTTGCAAATATTTTCTCCCATTCTGTTGGTTACTTCTTCACATTGTGGAGTGTTTCTTTTGCAGTGCAGAAGCTTCTCAGTTTGATGTAATCCCACTTGTTAATTTTGGCTTTGATTGCCTGTGCTTCAGGGATCTTTTCCAAGAAATTTTCCCCTGTGCCAGTGTCTTGTAGGGTTTCCCCAGTGTTCTCTAGTAATTTGATGATATCACATTCTAGAATGAGGTCTCTGATCCATTTTGAATGGATTTTTGTGTAAGGCGTAAAGGGTCTTGTTTCATACTTCTGCATGCAGAGGTCCAGTTTTCCCAGCATCATTTGTTGAATAGATTGTCTTGGCTCAAGGGGTTGCTTTTTGCTCTTGTCAAAGATAAGTTGTTTATAGATGCATGGACTAATTTCTGGAGGTCCTATTCTGCTCCATTGCTCTACACATCTGTTTTTGTGCCAGTACCAGGCTGTTTTTTTGGACAGGCAGAGTGGATAATGAGAGAGAGAGAGAGAGAGAGAGAGAGAGAGAGAGAGAGAAAGAAAGGTCTTCCTTTTCCGTTGGTTCACCCCTCAATGGCTGCTGCGGCTGGCATACTGCACTGATCTGAAGCCAGGAGCCAGGTGCTTTTCCTGGTCTCCCATGCTGGTGCAGGGCCCAAGGACTTTGGCCATCCTCCACTACACTCCCGGGCCACAGCAGAGAGCTGGACTGGAAGAGGAGCAACCAGGACAGAATCCGGTGCCCCGACCAGGACTAGAACCCAGTGTGCCGGTGCCACAGGCGGAGGATTAGCCTATTGAGCTGCAGCACCAACCAGGCTGTTTTGATTATAACTTCCCTGTAGTATGTCTTGAGGTCTGGTATTGTGATGCCTCCAGCTTTGTTTTTATTGTTTAAGATTGCATTAGCTATTTGAGTATTTTTGTGTCTGTGTTCATCAGGGAGATTGGTCTGTAGTTCTTTTCCTCTGTTGTATCTTTTTCAGGTTTAGGAATTAAGGCGATGCTAGCTTCATAGAAAGAGTTTGGGAGGATTCCCTTCCTTTTGATTATTTTGAATAGCTTGAGAAGAATTGGAGTTAGTTATTCTTTAAATGTTTGATAGAATTCAGCAGTGAAGCTGTCAGGACCTGGCTCTTCTTTGTTGGAAAGGTCTTTATTACTGATTCAATCTCCATCTTTGCTATTGGAATGTTTAGGTGTTCTATGTCTCCATGACTCAATTTTGGTAGATTGTATATGTCCAGGAATCTATCCATTTATTTAGGTTTCCTGATTTGTTGGCATACAGCTTTGTGTAGTAATTACTATTGATTGTTTTTATTTTTGTGGTGTGTGTTGTTACATTTACTTTTTCATCTCTGATTTTATTGATTAGAGTCTTCTCCCTCTTTTGGTTAATTGGGCCAATGATGTATCAATTCTATTTTTTTTTTTCAAAAGAACAGCTCTTTATTTCATTGATCTTTTGTATTTTTTTTTCTTTTTGGTTTTAGTTTTGTTTATTTCTTCCTTAATTTTAATTATTTCCACCCTACTAATTTGGGGTTTGGTTTGTTCTTT